AATGCTGCATCTTTCGTTCCTCATCTGGGAGGTCGGCGTATTCTGTGCCGTCATAAAGCAGTTCAGCCGTATGTAACAACGCTGCAACGTGTACCTTAGAAATACCCACGGATTTTGCAATGTCCTTTTTTGTGGTAAATTGCTCGTGGTATTTGGAAGCGGTAAGGCTCCCTTGGTGGAAACTCAACAGTGCCTTTTCCTATTAGTAGATGGTGTGGTACACGAAGTTGTCGTCAGTCTGGGCCATGATCGTCTTATGGATCATTTTTCGTAGCTCCAGTGGGTCGCATCCTAGCAGAACGGCATCGTAGTCCGTGTTCTGTGTCATCTTGTCCTTCAACAATCGGGTGCACTGCCCGAGGATCAAGTTGAATGCTTTGCTCCTATTCTCTTGAAGTTTTGCGAACCTACTATGGTAGGTCTTCATGAGTCCTCCATACTCTGTTTTCTCTGCTCCCCGGAGTTCCTCTTCCGGTGGATTCTGTAGGGCTTCTTGTAGGTCGGCTATTTCATTAACGGTGTTTGCTCTTTCTATCGTTAATGCTCGAAACCTATCTATTTGATTCGGGTCTTGTCTGACCGCGAGTATCTGTTGGCTTATCAACGTTAGTCCGGTTTGGTTCGCCTCTAGCAGACGCGTGTTTTTCTGATGGCATCGTTCGGCTGTTGCTCGGAGTCTCGCCTGGGTCTCCGCTGAGTATGCCGGTGCTGTCAGCACAGTTGGTGCCTTGTTCCGTAGCTCATTGGCGATGTCGTCACCCATCTGTTGTCCAACATAGATGGTGATCTTCTCCCATGTTCGTATCATCTGGTCTGCTGTTCCAGATCCAGTTGTACCGAAATTGAACACATGGTGTTCGAGGGCTTTGCATGAACCTGTGTGTCGGTTCGAAGACGATGAGGTGGGTCTTCCACGCCCTCCTCATCCTTTGCCGCCTCGGCCACCTCTTCCTCTACCTCTACCGCTCATCTTCGATGCTACGGTAGGTGGACTATTTCAATTTGTTTGTTTTGATTGACTAGCTCTTTTATTTTAAGTTCTCAATTAACTACTTATTCATCTCTCGGCTATGGGGCGATAAACTTCAAATTATACTCCTGGCTAGGGAGTGTTAAATCTATTGCTAAGGAACTTGCAAGGTCCGGTGCGATTGTTTCACACTTCGTGCGGTCGCTGCCTTTCCAAACCCGATGCCTTGCTGATTGATTCCTGTGTGGGTACCAGTCCTTGGTCCATGCGCTGGCACTATGGCTTTCGCGCTGTTGTTGGCTTTGCCAAGCAACCTTCCTGCCGGTAATCCCTGTGTATTCTACCGACGAAGCTCTTCCAATCGTGTCGCGTCATCGCGGTTTCGATCCGTCCTCGGATCCTTTGTGCTGCCGGCTTCTTTGATGCTTCAGCAGTCTCCTTGCTGTTGCTGTCGTTCCTTCGACAGGCTTCTCTCTTTCTTCGGTGCGACGATCCTCTCGTCGTCGTCGTCGGTCTTGTATCGGGCTTGAGCTTCGCGTCGTCGTCGACGGTCTTCTTCTCGTACGATCGGACGATCCGTGCTTGTTCTTTGGCCGATTCTTCTTCGCTGTCGATACACCGACTACTGCTCTATCCTCTGTCTGTTGTGGATAGGCAGTCAGCTTTTTCAGTAGTATGTTAGATTCACTAAGCTCTCTAGTTTACCATTGTCATGCTATTGAGATACTACTGAAAAAGTGGGTGGGCTCAGTTTTTCTACTGGTGTGAAATTCTAGTACCCTAGTACTGAGGTAAAGGGGCTGAATCCCTAATCGCGAATCCCCAACAGTATGAATGTTGAAGAAAGAAGGTCATCATTGAATTGTGACACCATCAACGCTTATGTTCGACATTGTTGATCCGTTCGGCTCTCCCAGCCTAGCTAGCACCTACCATTGGCTAAGGCTCCAAGACGGTGTGTACCACCAAGCACACCCCAGTATGTGAATGACTCACATTTCAGTGAGTAACGACATGAAAAGAAGGTTGCAGTCCCACCGTTCCTGAGGCCTCGCAACACAAGCATTGACGAAGAAGGATACTGTCCAATGCGACAAAGCAATCAAGTTGATCCACATACATCAATTCAGTTGCTTTGGTTCAACACGACAAGCTGGTCACATCGATCGGTATGACCACTCCTGGGGAGACCCAAGGAAGACTTCAAGCACAACAGTTTCGAAGTCAATCGTCCCGTTCCAGAGGCAACGATTTGATCCCAAGGATGCCGATCCTATGGGGAGTCTTAGTGTAGCTAGCCGTAGGTAATCGTACCGTTCACCTGTGGTATTACCGCAAGAGCGAATCCATTTGCCCTTGTGGGGAGCTATGAATTACAGGGCAAGAGCTCTAGATTCGTAGTAGCAGCGCTAAGGCAGCTTGCTGGCTTATTGCCTGGAAAGATGGATATCCACCCATCTTCGTCCATAGTTGAGAATAATCATGAAATAGTAAAATACCTGAAGACCCAGATAGCATACCATAGCCTTGCAGTAGAGAACATCCTGTGCGGTCCATGATAGGGTAAATAGCAGCGATTCAACCATTCCGACTGCAGTGGTTGAATAGCATTGGCAGCCAGCTCTGAGGAGCTGGCCTTGACTGCCCAGTGAAGGGAGAATCTCACCAACCAGGGATCTCCCATCCTGGCGCTGGCCAAGTCCTTGACTGACAGTCATCCTCCTGCTGAGGAAGGCCAGTTGAGGCTCCCTTACTGCCTAACTACCAGCTGAGATCTGAGGAAGAGATCTAGAGAGGTTATTCCCCGAGGAAAGACCTCCCGAAATCTCATTGCAGGTGCAGCACCGACACTCAAAGGTGAACGGGCCCGAGGTGCCCGCCTTTGACCAACGGCGGTGCTGTCAATGTGAGAAGCACCGCCTTTCGCAATTCCCGTCGAAGGTGACAGCGTTGGGACTGCCCGGCTTTGGACGAGCACCGACACCCAACGCTCAACATCATTTCGTGGCGGACCTTTGAGGGTGCACCGACACCCAATGCTCAACATTAAGTGGTGGCGGACATTTGAGGGTGCACGAACGGTCCAATCACATAAAATTTCGCAATGGCCCTGCTTTGCAGTCAGGTGCACTGAGGCTCAAAGGTGGACAGGTGCTAGTAAGTGTCGATTTAAGGGACGATTGAGATTTAGGGGACTAATTCTCGGGATCTTCCAGTCGGTGAGTCAATTGGTCGCACATATTACTAGCTAGTTCAAGCCTCATTCAATCGGAGCGTCGCTGGTGCAGATCCAGCCCGGGGAGGTTTTCTTTTCACGGCCCATGAGAGTCAAGCTGGCGAATTTATAACTGCTCCAGCTCTATCAGCAGCCTGATCGGATCTATCGTCGAGTCGTTGAATGGCAACAATCAATTGACCCAAGGAGGCTACACGACAACATACTAGTACACTGGAGAGTGGGTCCCCCTATTGGATGCATCCTTATCCCCTAGCTAGGGATAAGCAAACCACCTCATAGCGCTAGATTGCATTGGTTAGGCTGTACTGGTGCTAGTACCTCTGTAGTTACCGGTACATTGACATAGATTGATCGACTGACTCAACTAACTAAGAAGTCAGTTGAAAACTTAAAATTCGCATTTTTACCAGCAAATACATTTAATTGGATTGGATTGGTTTGAATTGCATTGGATTGGACTGGATTGGATTCAATTAGATCCATAAAAGTACTGGTATTTGTATAGTAAATACCAATTCAATGCAATCCAATCCAATTCAATGCAATCCAATCCAATTCAATGCAATCCAATCAAAAATAACCATCAAAAGCCAAAAATTGGATTCCTTTTCGCCCAAACTGCACCTGCAGGGTAACGTACCATACAAGGACTTTCTTGGTAGTGTGGAATTTGACCCAAACTATCAGTGTTACGGTATCGAATAGAGTACACTACAGCGCTATAGCAACATTTGCTCATCCCCCTCTAGTGTTTTGGTGGTGGTTTCTGTGTGGGTTGTTGGACTTGGCAAGTTGAGAGGAATTTGCAAGGGGCGGTGTGGACATAAGCTGGTGGCCCTGTCCAAGTTGATGGCTGAATGTAATTGAGATTTTCTCGGATTCCCGGGATCAACCATCAGAAGCTTCATTTCTTTATTCTCATATTCTCATTGATGCCGGTAGCGATTGATCGATGATCGGTGTACGTTTCGCTTCGAGACAATGCGTTCATAGGGTACGGTAATCCAGTTCTGACAGTGATGGTTCGTACCGGTACGGGTGACAGCTTTTGGTTTTTCGTCCAAGACACCACCGGAACACTACTAGTAGTACCAGCAAGATTGCAAAGGACTCGACTCGACTCGACTCGACTTACTCAACTCGAAACCGCAAGAGCTGCCGAGACCTGCACAACGTCGCTTGCGCCGGGTACTACATGTATTGCAGTGCCGTAGCCCATACTGCAGTACGGTAGCCAACTACTCTACTCTAAGACCCCCTATCATCTCTACTGGAGTACTATTTTGCCATAGCAAGTGCCGCTACATAGATAGAGAACGTTTCGGATCTCACTCGTTGATTTTATTCCAGCTATTGGTGTACTAGTACATATAGTCCCGCGCTTCAAGGGAGCGACAGTAGTTAAGGACATGTTTTATTCCAGATAAAGGGAAAGTTTTTGTACTGGTACTACCGTAGTTTTACCATATAGTCTTCCTGGCTGCACCCCCAGCAAAAAGCTCGGAACCTCTGGATATTGGTTTTGTTCAGTAATACCACTGTTGGTGGGTTGTGCTTTGTGCCGAAGGGAGCAACACCAATTTCAAATACCTATCATCCCTAGCAGTTTCACGACGATCCCGTCTCACAAGCACAACAAATCCAACTTTCGTTGACAAAGGACGAAGGCAGCGGCCCCGATTGCACACACCAACAAAGGTCATACGAAACAAAGAAACCCCATCTAGTAGAACACCGTCATCACCGTCAAAGCACTTATCAGAACCAGCGACAATAATGGATGCCACCACCATGTCTGAACAGTTTTCCAACAAGGACATAATTCGTTTCTCCTCTGGAGTTACAGGATACCGCATTGTCCGATTGTCAATAGAGCTCTTTCTGGTTAACCGCACCAGTGAGCTGGAATTGGCTGTCAGTCAGGCAGGACTTGTGTATCTTCTCTACAGTCTGGCAAATATCCTGACTGGAGTCGCCCTCTTCCAATTTCCCAAGGCCATCTTTGCTGGGGCTTCCACCAAACACGGAGCCTTCATGTTTCCCCTACTCTCAGCAGGATCCATGTCTGGAGGACTTCTTGGCTTGTTCCTAGCAGAATCTTTCCAGACAATGGTGATTGCCTCAATTTTTAGTGGTTTTGGATCTGCCGCTTGGTTTATTTACTATCAAACTCTCACAAACTTGGCATTCTCCGAGTCTCAGCTGGGAACAGTTGCTCAGATGAGACAAGGATATGAGTGCTTGGGTTTTCTCCTGCCCAGCATTTGTCTTGCCATTATGGACTCATTACCCGTGTCTGGTTCTTCTTCCTCCCCTGGCCTTGAGGACAATGCAATGAACATGTCGATAGTTCAACGGTCTGCAGTTGTCCTTGGTGTTCTTGCGGCTATCTTCCATCTCTTTAGTTTCCCGGTCATGTCCTCATCTGCAGTGCTTCTGGTAGCCAGCGGCTCCGCTGCAGAAGATGAAGACCTAAAGGATGACATTGAACAGCAAAGGCCAATTCGGGAATCCATTTGGGGTGCACTGCAGCAGTTTTTTGGTACTTCTGTCCGGCAATACTTTGTGCTACTGTCAATTCTTGTGGCTTTCTCGGCCATACTGTTGGGAACAACCTCACTAACCACAGAAGTCATCTTTGGTCTTGAGCCCACCTTTCTATGGATTGCTGCTATCGGATTTCCTCTTGGTGGCATCATCTCAGTTGGTTCAGGGGTTCTTTTTGGAAGCTGGGTCCAACGAGATCCAATGTCAACAGTACAAGGCGGAACAACTGGGCTACTTGTTACCCTTGCCTTGGTCGTCATTATCCACCCCCTTGTATCTGTGGAGTTGAGTGTCCCATCTGCCAAGTTCTTTCTTTTCATTTTTGGATTGACTATTGGGATCATATACAGTGGAACCTACGTGGCAGCAGTTGAGCTTTGGTACTTGAGGCTCAAGGACTGCGACGTTTCCTTTGTATCAAGGGCATCTGCTTTGAATGATCTGGGTTTTCAAGCAGTCATTGCTGGTGTCTTTCAGCTCCAAACAATTCTCATTGAAGAGACTGTAACCAAAGGAGACACATCCAGGCTGGTGGAAGGACTTGTCTTCTTTGGTCCATTGGTTGCATTGTTGCTCATGGCATACCTAGTGGCAAGTTCTCTTCCTTGTCCCAAGGATCCCATCTTTGGATGGCCCATCAAAGATCCTTTTGGGGGTCGACGTAACAGAATCCTTATGGCAGCAGTGGACAAGTTGGGGATTTGCCCCATTGCGAGCAGTTCCTTTGCCTGCTTTTCTGACTACCGTACCTCCATGTTTGCGGAGGGGCACCTCTCCAGCCCCACTACCCAGGTCCAAAGGGGTCCACCTGTGGATCCTTCTGCCACGTTGTCTCCAGAATGTCTTCAACAGCAATTGCAAAAGTATGATGCAGAATACAGCACTACAAGTCAGGACACTTGGCACAGAAGCCAAGCAAATGTTTCCAATTTCACCACTGGAAACAAAGCCAATCTGGAGGAACGGTTGCGGCAGATTGACAGTGCCCGTTCGGAGATATGGATCACAACATGGACATTTGAGGATTCCACAAGTGGCAATCTCTTGTCAGATGCTCTTATCACAAAAGTCCAAGCTGGTGTGGATGTGAGGGTTATTGTAGATGGCTGCAACCTTGTATATCTCTATCACAAGGAGAAACTGACTCGTACAACCCAAGAGACAAAAGTTCTGCACAAGCTAGTGAATGGTGGTGTTGAAGTGAGAATGCTTGATACCTGGTTTGAGGATAAACAACCATCTTACGTCTGTGGAACACACCGCAAGATGATGCTGGTCGATGGCACATTTCTCCTTACTGGGGGGCGCAACATTAGTGATGAGTACCTGATGACTGATACCTTCCACTTCAAAGACCTCGATGTGACCCTCCAATCCAGCAGCTTTGTGGACAGTACACGACACTTGTATGAGACTCTTTGGGGCAAGTCCAGAGGCATCCATCACTTGACCCGTGGCATTGATGCCTCCAGCAAAGATACAAAGTTGATGGGCGATGAAGCTGGTTTTGAAACACCAACAATGATGATGGCAACTGATTCATCCACGATGTATTCGGGCGCCATGGCTGTTGATAGCCAAGTCATCAACCCAATGAAGGAAAGGCAACAGGACTCACCTCTTGATCCGGCATCTTCGATCAACATAGACTGTGAGGTTTCTTTGTTCCAGCTGGACCACAAAGCAGGGAATCCTGAGGGCCAGGACATCATATTCTCCACATTACTCTTTTTGATTGAGACAGCTGAGGAGAGTATTGAGTTATTCTTTGGCTACTTTCAGCTCCTCCCTGGTCTAGAAGAGGCCATTGCAGGTGCCATTGCCCGAGGAGTCAAGGTCCGTCTCATTACCAACTCAGAAGAGACAAATGATCTGTCTTTTGAAAACCAGATTTTTTGTCACGCATTGAGGCGTGCGCTGGAACTTGGTGTAGAAGTGTACTTGCCGGCAAAGAAGAATGATGGCTCAGTCAATTACTGCCTCCATTACAAGATGGCAATGATTGATGCCAAGGCAGTTCTGCTGGGGTCCTGGAATTGCCTGGGATTTTCTACCTTCCATGATGATGAGTTTTCTGTTATGATGTTTGACCAACAAGAGATGAAGAATACTGATGGAGGAGAGGGTAGAGCTTTGGGAAGTGCCCTGTTGGAGCACTTTCTGGAATCCATTACAGAAGGAGATCTGGTTCGTGTTGAATCAATACCAGAGGACAGTTGTGTGGTTCCTTTCCACTTTAGAGCATTCGCAACAAAGAATGCTGCTCGTCAAATGCAAAGGGGTTTCTAAGAACTTTGACTTATAGCTTGACTTGGCTTGTACTCACAATTATTGCAGTAGACAATGCTGTTTCATGGGAGTAATCTGTTCTGGTTGGCTAAAAAGTTAACCTTGTATATCTTTTCCAATCAAGGTAACTTTTGATGGTATATCTAATGTTTATATTAGTCTATTCGTTGCGAGGTTTGATCGGTGTGTCTTTCTGACTACAAAACAGACAAAAGGGCGTGGGGAAGGTTTGGAGGTGTGTTTGAACACCTCTAGAGAATGAGTTTGAATTGCACCTCCACCTGCCAAAAGTTCCCCAGACAAGGGACGGCTTCCTTGCGGGCCATGTAACGCATTTTCTTTTCGATTTCGTTGGACACTCGTTCCTCGTGTTGCTTGATCCTTTGAACGAGCTCTTCGTCTTCCTCAGCTGTTCCTTCTTCTTCGACTTCCGGCATGCCTCGGAGCAGTGGGTGTGATTCTTGTTGACGACGCCCACCGCCCCAACAGGTTCCGCAGAATTGGCAACACCACTCCGCAGTGCAACCACCCATGTTTTTGCAGTTCATCTGTTGCGCTTGGCGGTGAGCTTGGTCGCCTTCTCTTTTTGTTCTGTCGTCTACGGCGGAACTTCCGTGCTCCAATGCGTCGTTGATGAGTTTCCTTAGTCTGCGGCGGCCATTGCCTTCGTCGTCGGCACCGTTTTCGTAGTAGATGTCTTCCTTGATGTCCTCTTCTGTCAAGTGCTCGACGATCTCTTCAGCGCCGAGACGAGTGGTCAAGGCGCCAGTGTGGTCGATGGTGATATCGTTCCGGTATTGTTCAGATACAAGATGAAACGCTGGAACGTATTTGCTCAGCCGCGATGCATACGTGTCGATTTCCACCACGGATTGGATCACTTGAGTAATCAAAGACATGTCCTCTGGTGTGCATTGGACTGCCACATCGTTTGGGTACGTCGCACCAAGCTGCACAGAATAGGTTGCATCACACTCCTTCAGCTCATCGGAGGCAATCGTCCTGTTTGGCGTCAAAGCCAAGAGACAGAGGAAAACTGGGGCTAGAAACTTCATTTTGATTTGATTGTGTTTTTTGTTGTTGTTGTTGTGTGCAAATTGAATATTGTGAGCCAAACGAAACCTTCTCTTGGGAGAGAAGAAACGGAGCGAGTCCTGACTCTCTGTCGTGCGCTTGTTGACTAGTTTGGTGTTGCTCTTGACTTGGAGGTTGGATCGATGAGCAAAGCGATGTTGAAACAAAAGTCGACACAAACGTTCGTGTGACGGGAGTTACTCAAGTGTTTACGAGGCTATGACTTGCCACAAATGCCCTCGACAATGCTGTGGGAAGAATGTACTCAAGAGTACGAACAATGCCAGCAGTCCCAGTTTTTCGTTGGAGGGCTTTTGTTTGGGGATCGTGCCCACACCATCCAGTTCCGAAGCGACCTCTCTCACATTTTTGTTTGTTCGGCTAGCTTGTCTTGCTGAACCCTCAAAGGGTGCTTGTCCGAGGACAGCTCGAACAAGTTTGGAATCGCCGATCCAAACCACATGTCTTGGTGTCTCGAGTGTGATTCTTGACTGGGAGGCTCATTCCCATCTACTAACTTTCCAGCCACAATGCCTCTGTCTCCTCCACCTTTTCCACGAAGGCGGAACTCTTTGCGGGAATTGCCATTGTGTTTTCACAGGCCGCCAAGCTTCCACCGTACGGCGGTGGAGTTGGCAGCCGGAACCTTCCATTCCGTTCGTTGCCAAACTTCGCTCTTGGTATGATTGGATTCGTTTACTCGGTCAAAGAAACCATCGGAGTTTGGCGCCAGCCAAACGGAGCAAAAGATGCAAGTCGCTCACCTGTCAAACCTGGCGTAGTGAGTCCATTGATCACAGGGATGAACGGTTGCCTGCCGGGAGGAAGTAGGTTTGGCGGCAACGACTGGGCTTGGGCCATCTTCACCAAACAAAATTCTGCTTCTCGCCTACGGTAGCTAGATGGCCACTACGGTAGCTAGATGGCCACGAAAAATGTTGGCTGTTCGGCATCATACGTCATGCACAGAGAATCGAGATAGGAAGTGCTTCTATACCGGTACCACTTTTCTGCCGACACAAAGTGTTTTGGTAATGCTCCTCTACTAGAGGGCGATGTCTTTTTCTTTCGGCTCCGAGCGCCATCGGCAAGGCATGCTACATGCTACACGAAGAATGATTGAATCTATACAACTTGTACCGTACCGGTATGCAACGATAATCACATTCACCTGCTGGGCGACGGGAATTTCTAATGGCGTAGTGGAAGACGACCATGCTGCCAGAATAGAGGCACTTCTTTAGAAAGACACAACGTTGCAGGCACAATAGTAAACTTAAGATTTCTAGCAAGTCTCTGCTCCGTGGATTCGATTCCGAGAGACTTGCTCCGTGGATTCCATTGCGAATTGTACTGGGTACTGCTTACGCGTTGTCCCTTGATCCACCACAAATCAATCTCGACTGCCGATTCTGCACCTCTCATGTACTCCTTCCGCTGCTTTTCTTTCCACCGCCTCTATTTGCCTCTCTTTCCCTCAACAGCGTACCACAACGATCCACCAATGCACACGAGCAAACCAAAAACCTGCATGAATGACAGTCTTGTTCCAAACAGCCACATGCCAATCAAAATGGAGACAGCCTTGTTGGCAGTGGATGCCACAACCACAGAGGTTCCAGACACCAAACTAAAGCACTTGGGGTAGGCAATTCCAATCAAAACCCCACCCAGGCAGGTAGCAAAAATGGCAGCCTTGGCCCAGCCAGTAAGTGGCCCCATTTCACCAAAGGATTCACCTTCCTTGTTGACAATGGCCAAGAAGCCCACAATGGGCAAAGTCTCAATTTGCTGAATGAAACTGACTCCATAGGATGTTTGAATCTTAAGTTCTTTGGTATAATGTGTGATGTAGATTTTGTTCCAAAAGGTGTTGAAAATAGTGGCCAAGCTGTTTCCAAACAACCACATGTATCCTACTAGATTGAAGTTGACATCTTGCAGGGCATAGAGGATCATTCCTACAGTCGTAACGGCAAGAGAGGCAATTTGGGCTTGACTGAACTTGTTTCCAAAGAAAAAATAGTCAATAACGGCAATGGCCACTGTGCATGTATTGCGAAATGCCACAAGAGTTGCAATGGCCACGTAGGGCAATGCCTTGAGGGATGTCAGAATCTGCATGGCCAAAAAGAAGGAACAGACTCCAAAGATCTGCCATTGTTTCATGGCAAAGGGTTTCATCTCCAAAAAGCCAGAATAATTGCCCCATGCCAAATAGAGCACAGCCGTACCATTTTGCATAAGAGTCAATGTGTTGGCATAGGGCCACTGTTGCATGACATATTTGTTTCCAACCGTCATGGTGACGGAAGCCAGAAAGAGCATGAAGAGCCAAAAGGCGGCATCTTTCACGTCGTGTTTATCGCCGCTCAATTTATCGAATACGGCAGTTGGCTTGGCATTATTATTGTCCTTGGACACGACGAGCGGCACCGTATCATCATTTCCATGATTTTCTTCATCCTGGAGCTCTACATACTGTTGTGAGTCCGTGCTTGACGACTCTTTGAGTTCAAGCTCTTTCTTCTGGGCATTCTTGGTCTCGGAGGACATGATGATGGCTCAATCGAATCGAATCGAATCTATCTATCAAACAGTCCACAAGAGAGGGACACAAACTTTTTTATGAATGACAGCTCTTGCTTGCTTCGAACACACTTTTGCGTGAGTGCTTCGGCCTCGCCAATCGCGCGCCAATGAAGCCAAAGGGTCCGCGGAAGAAGCATTAATAACATGAATGAATTATTTGTAAATCTTTGATTTGACAGGATTGTGTGTTAACGGTCCTTGCGTCCTTGCTGTACGTAGCGTATCACCGCTACTGGTACCGGTACGACTACCTACGGTAATCTGTGAGCTAGCTACAGGCAGCTTCGTTTCTATTGATTCAAACGCGAGCCGAGCTTCTTCGTAGAAACACTCGTAGAAGTGTACCAGAAAATCCGGCACGCGTTTGAATCAGAAAAATCGAAGCTGCTCGTACGTAAGTACCGTACAGTGTAGGTCTTGGAATGAGGAAGCTCTTGCCATACCAGAGTACGAGTCAGAGTTTGGAAAGAATCTTTCGTCAGTGGCAAGCAGCTACCGTAGCTACTGCAATATTGGGAGAGGACGTCTGCAGAGGAAATGTGACTGTGAAGGCATGTTGTTAAACTATTGAAGATTACCGTGCCTACATGGAGCGAATCCTGCCTACTAGCTATCTGCTATTGGATCATGCATCCTGATGTGTACCGTACCAGTAGTCACTGGAAAAGATAAGTTTGAATTGGCAATCGATCAAGGATGCATTGCAGGAAGCTTTGTGCTGCAGGTGGCGAATCCCACGGTGCATCCCCAAAGACCTTTATCCAAACGAAAGCAAATGTCTTCTTCCCCAAAGAATCGGCACATAAAGGGGGGACTCCACCACCGCTCCAGTTCATACGGTGAGGTAGCCTTTCATTTCTACTACTTTTTGTATCATACTTTTTTAGAATCTATGTTCAGTTAATTTTGGTGCCGCAATATCTTTCTTGCTCACTCGATCACTACAAACCCACTCTTTGACGTTTTGGCATCCTTGTCGTTGTCAGTCAGTCGTTTTACGTACCATTATTGGGCGGCCGTCTTTTTGGCGTCTTCTTCTTCTTCGTCACTGTCGCTGTCTTGCACCTTTTTGGATTCTTCCTTGTCTTGCTTCGTCTTCGTTTTGCTTTGACTATTATCTTTCTTTTTGGATCCAAACAAGTTGGAAAAGGCACTACCGACAGCGTCACTGAGTCGTCCGCCCATGCCCTTGCCACTCTCTACTGCTTCTTGATCGAATTCTCGCAACAATTCTTCTTGTCGTTGTGTAATTTCCTTTGGTATTTCAATCTGCAAATGGACAATTTGATTGCCGTGTTGATTATGATTGAGGTAGGGGATTCCCTTGCCCCGCAACATGAGTTTGGTATCGACTTGACATCCCTTGGGGACTTTCATTTCGACCATTCCGGTGAGTGTCTGGACATCGACGGTTCCACCGAGTACGGCTTCCGTCAGTGAAATGGGGACTTCGGTATGCACGTCAAATCCATCGCGCTGAAAGTAGTCATCCGGTTCGACGAGGACATTGACCAATAAATTGCCCTGGGGTGCCCCGGGATCGCCTTCGGCCCCTTGACCGGCCAATCGTAAATTCATGCCACTGTCAATACCGGCGGGAATATCAACGGTAACTTGTCGATCTTTGATTTCGACTTGGCCATTGCTGTCATTTCGGACTTGATACCGGACATTCAAATCCTTGTGGGTGCCAAAGACGGCTTCACGAAAGGTTATTTTGACGTGCATTTGCAAATCGGCCCCGCGACGAGGACCTCGTGGACGACGGCGTTGTCCGCCTCCAAAAAAGGCTTCAAACAAATCTTCGGCATCAATATTTTGACCGCCAGGACCGCTACTACTAAAATGAAACGATCCATCACCAAAATCAAATCCACCCGCTCCAGCTCCACCACCAAATGGATTTCCAGCTCCACCAAATGGGTTACCGCCTTGAAAATTGGGATCGACTCCGGCATGTCCAAATTGATCGTAGAGATTGCGTTTTTCGTCGTCCGTCAAGACTTCGTACGCTTCCGTGACTTGTTTGAATTTTTCTGCCGCCGTTTCATCGCCCTGGTTGGTATCCGGATGGTACTTTTTGGCCAATTGGAAATATGCCTTTTTAATGTCGCCTTTTTTGGACGTCTTGGAAACACCCAAAACATCATAAAAGTCGCGTTTGGAATTGGACGACGAAAAGTGGCGTCTGCTAGTGACAGTGGTGGGGGGTCTTGTACTACCAGTTCTAGTAGTATTGCCCGCCAAGACGGAATAGGATCGATGGGATGTGGATTGTGGTTGTGGTCCTGTTTGGTTGTAAGAGGATGCCGCTGCTGCCGTTAGAGCCGCTCTGCCTTGACGACGAAGCGTCCGAAGTGTGATGCTTCCGACAGCCACACTGAGAGGAGCTGCAGGGGTCATGGTCAACTAAAAAGTACAGTACCACTTGTCAAGTCAATAGCTAGCTAGCTAGCTAGTAGTGATGATTGTGTTGGGGTGAGCTACCAATACAAAGCTAATGCAGATGAGAATGCAAGAAATGAGCCATCTTGGCTTGGCGGAAGCCTTCTTCCAACTCCTTCTTTCTTCTTCTCGACGCGAAGAGTGGTTCCCACGAGGCTGAGTCAGACCGCGCAATGGTGCGGTTTATCATACATGCGAAAACTTTCAAGCCAGCTGAAAGGGTAAACACACTACAGAGGCAGCTTCTAGATATTTTTAGGAGCCTCCGTCTGCAGGGCTTATGAAGCGCCCAACGGTATCGCTCGGGACAGACCTCCTTGTCCTTGCTAAAGCTTGTTCGGTGGTATTATAATATCATAGCCATACGTAGACTACCTCATCCATAGATCGCTGCAACCATTCCCTTCAACAACCACAACTGGTAAAGTAAAAGGCAGCTGGAAAGTAGACTATCCAGCCGTGATCTTCATTGCCGTGGCGACGCATCACTAAAAACACAGCCCAAATTCAAGGTTGCTCGAGCGCAATGCCAAAAGTCAAGTGTACCTGGTAGAGAGTTACCGTACCGTAGCGGTTGCATGGTCAGTTGGTACGTTGGTACCCGTAGGAGCAGATCGACAATGGGGATAAAAGATCTTCATCACGATGGGCGATTGATTGGACCAAGTGGTTGTGGCATCCACTGCCAACAACAAGGCTGTCTCTATTTTGATTGGCATTTGGTTGTTTGGAACAAGACTGTCATCCTCCATGTGCAGGTTTTTGGTTTGCCCGCTTGCATTGGTGGATTCACCTGAAGGCATTCTGCAATGCTTCTTCCTTTGCCAATCGCCCTTTTCCAGTCAGCTCTTGCTTGGTACTATCGGGATGATCCAATACCAGAACGCAGGTGCCAGTGATGGCTTGCTTCCAAAAGGGCGCATTGGTGTTCGCGTCGACGATATTTTACAGCTTTGATGGATTCGATTCGACGCGATTGAATTTTCAACCAAATTCTGTTTTCGCATTTTCGCTGTTTTGAGGTTTTAAAATTCCCGAACTTCTTGTCTTTCAAGCCACGAAAACCGTGAAATTTACCAAAATGTGGCGTTTTTGCGGCTCTTTTCTTTCTCGGCGAATTCACACAACAACGCTCCAAGGGCTTTTATGAAGCCGCACAACCTCAACCCATCACGATCGAACGGTATTTATCGCTCGGGACAGATCGTTGTCTTTTCTCGGTGATTCCTACGATACCTCATCGATGGATCGCTGCAACCATACTGGTACGGTGGTACCCTTCCACCACAACTGGTGAACAGGCAGCTGTAAAGTAGCCAGTCATCTGCATTGCCGTGGCGACGCATCTCCAAGAAACAGACCAAGCTCAAGGTTGCTCGAGCGCTCGAGCGCAATGCCAAAAGCTACCTGGGCGGCATTGCACAAAGCTCCTCATTCACAATTGCCATCTTCCAGAACAGCCCACACTGTCGTTTTGAGCACGGGCAAACTCGAGGCAAAATCCTTTGTTATGTATCTTTAGGTCGAAGTTTCAATCATAGGAGAGATGGAGTCGACAATCGTGACTTGCAATAGGGACACAAGCTAGCTAGTGAGCAGTAATGGCTTTCCACTGCATCTCATTTGAGTTCCGCGCTACCGTAGCTACCAGTAGTACCCTGGAATCAGGAGGATCGCTTTCACGCTTGTACATACATGTAGATCTCATCAAGGCTGGCTGCCAACTTGGAGTGGATATGCAACTCTCACAATTCAGCAACTCAATCATCCAAAAGAACCTCCTCCAATATCGCGACCAGCCATGAAGATCGTCGTTGCATCTCTCTCCATCTTTGCCGTGGTCCCTGCAGCCATCGCCGTCTCCCTCAAAGGAACGGTGACTGTCAAGAATGTGGCCCCTCAAGGCGGAACGCGCCAAACCCCTGGTAAGCAGGCTGCTGCGTGCTCCTTTGAAGAAGAGCCTCGGATATCTTGACTTCCAGGCGATGCTCACTGTTGTTTGATTGTGTTATGCCCTCTCAGTCTGGGTCGGTCTCCACAATGGCAACTTTGACATTTACGACAGTGGCGAAACTGCCTTTGACGGCCTCGAGGTGCTGGCCGAGGACGGTGATACCACCCAGTTGAGTACCCGCTTCGGCACCACACCTGGAGGAGCGTGGGACGACACTACTAGCGGCGGCCCGTTCCTTCCGGGTCAGGAAGTCAGCGCGTCGTTTGATATTTCAGGTGTCACTGGGCCCCTCTACTTTAGCTATGCTTCCATGGTCCTTCCTTCCAACGATGCCTTTATTGCCAACGGCAGTCCCACGGCCCATATGGTGCTCTCCGGCAGCGGAAGCGCCTACAACTTGAAGTTTACAGTGTACGGCTCCGAAGTCCTCGATGCTGGAACCGAATTGAACAACGAGGACCCTCTAACCACAGCTGGTATCCCGAACTTTGTCCCTGGTTCGGGCCCAACCGAAAATGGAGTTGTCACCGCGCATCCAGGGTTTCAAATCGGAGGCAACATCCTTGGCATTGTTCCCAACGGAGACTTTAAAAGGACACCTGGCTACAAGATGGTTGAGATTACAGTGATCATTACGGAGGTGGATGGTCAGCCCGTCATGCTCCCCTTCTTTGGATCTGGTGGCGATCCTCATTTCCACCGTTGGGACCGAACCTGGTACGACTTCCAAGGAGCATGCGACATGACCTTGATCACAGCCAAGAACTTCACTGATGCAATGGCCTTGACCGTGTACATCCGAACAAAGATTCGCTACAGTGAGTACCTGCATCAGCTTTTGCTTGGCATTTGCATCGTCGTCGTACCTGAACTGCCTTTATACCTGACCTGATCCATTTCTGCCAGATTACTCGTACATTGAGAGCGCTGTAGTCCAGCTAGGAACGGAAACGTAAGACGCTGCCAGCGAATCTTCTTTGTTTCCTCTGCGTCCGATATCTAACCAATCGTATTGTTGCTGTTGGATCTTCAGGTTGGAAGTCTCGAGCTTTGGCGAGTACATTCTCAATGGCATTAGCAATGTGGACACGGACCACCTGGAAGTGGCTGGCTTTCCCGTGCACTATTCCAATCCGAGCGACAAGGTTCACGTCTTTCAGATTGAGATCTCGGACAAGGAGACTGTAACACTCAAGACATTCGAGGACATGGTATCTGTGAACTTTGCAGCAGTGGAACGCGAGCGCTACCATGGAAGCTATGGTATGATCGGAGGCTTCGACGAGAATGGTTTGATGCTTGGTCGTGACGGCAAGACCATCATTGAGGATCCCGTTGCCATGGCGGCTGAATGGCAGGTTAAGGATGATGAACCCATGGTCTTTCAAACTGCCCAAGCCCCCCAGTATCCTGCCAAGTGTGTCCTTCCCGATTCCACGGTGCAAGAGGGCCGTCAGAGGCGTCTTGGCGAGTCTCTTGCCATCGAAGCAGCTGAAAAGGCATGTGCTGGTTGGGACGAGTCTTCTCGCCCTGCCTGTGTCCACGACGTTTTGGCCACCGGTGATTCGGATTTGGCAGCCGCTGGAGCCTTTTAGGACTCTACTCGCAAGGAGTTTGCGATCTCTGTAGGTGGCGCGTGTATGGCAGTACCATCATGATGATTGTGGATCAACATCCCATCGAGAAGGCTTGGGCTGATTCCGATGGCACATCAATGCAACTGCTGTGCTGTACTGTATGCATGCTGCTTTTTAAGAAAAAAATTGTAGTTATGCTGCCACCTGGTATTTCCAATTTAAGTCATGTCTGCAATCAACGTATGTGTTGGTGTTCCGATCGGACTGTGGTTGTGACGAAATAGCAAAGTCAGCTGTAGCGCATGTTTTGTTGTGTTGTGTCGAGTTGCGACTTTTGTCACTGAGAATGTTGCAGTGTCGACCGTGGAGGGAGATTCGGAGCACGAGGTTCGAATCAGAATCAATCTTCTCGTTGCTTCTTCTCTGGTGATTTCCAGGCCGCTAATAGCTAGCTAGCTTGTCGCAAACACACGGCATCAAGAGCCTCATAGTGGTGGGACGAGTGGAACGAAGGAGACTGCATACACCGAAAGCTCGAGTTGGTTATTGGGCTTTCCTTGTGGCAATAAACAGTGGCTGCTGTACATGTACGATGTTGGACCCATACCAGTACGGAGTAGGAATGGCTACCCCCTTTCGTGTTCAGTGCCCGACATTGAGCCACTCGGAGCTTAGGTAGGGTTGGAAAACGCTGCGGTGCTCGGGTTGCAAGAGCGCTGCCATAATGCTGCCTGTATTGGACGGACGCTTCCAAGAGAACAACAGGCACAGTCACAACAACCGAAATAAAGGGTACCGGTAGCTAGTTTAATCTGTTAAGGGTTTTCGATAAATTTGCAAAGTAGATTTACCCCGGCTACGTCGTCATCAAACCGGACCTGCGATTTGAGTCTTGGTTCGTCGGAGCAGTCGCCAAGGGAGCTTGATCACAACATCACAGTTAACGCCGACACAGGTGGTTCGATGGATCATGTGCTTCATGGCAAGCCAAAAAGAGGATATCGTCATGATCGTCTTCGTGCTCATAACTGCCATCTATCCAAGGCCAAACAACAGCATCGACAACAACATCGACAACCACATCAACATCAACCACATTTCTTGCACATCGTTTCATTGCAGACAGAAGCACATTTTAAATTAATTGAGACCCAGCAGCCATGAAGCCTTTCTTGTACCCCACCATAATGATATTGTCATTTGTAGTTGGGCAGGCACAGGCTTCTGGAGAATGCTGCTATATTGCTGTTGGAATAGTAGATTCAAGCTGTGACCTTTGCACCCCAGGAAGCTGCGTAGGCACAGATGTACAGTGTATTTCCTCAACACAAAATAACTGTGATGAGAGATTTGCATCATGGTGCCCTGATGACACTGGCGCACCTACACCAAGCCCCACCTCTTATCCCTCCTACTCTCCAACTGCTGAACCTACTACCAGTCCTACAGCTTATCCATCCTACTCTCCAACTGCTGAACCTACTACCAGTCCTACAGCTGGACCAACCACCTCTCCAACCGACAGTCCAACAGCGGGACCCACTGAATCTTCCACTGAGGGTACTACTGACATTCCAGCCACTGATCCTGTTCCTACTTCAACAAGTGCTGGCGGTGGTGGAGATCCTCATTTTAAGGTATGCACCTGTGCTGTACATCATATCAACTCTTTATCTGGTTCTCTTCTGTTTTCTAATCTTGTGCAACTTCTACCGTCTACTTCATGGGGTTACTCTCTGCCAATCAATAGACCTGGAATAGCACATGGTATGACTTCCATGGCATCTGTGACTTGGTGCTTCTTGACGATGAAAACTTTGCCAATGGACTTGGGCTGACGATCCACATTCGTACAAAAGATCGGTACCCGTATGCCTACATTGAAAGTGCTGCTCTCCAGATTGGCGAAGATATTTTGGAAGTTTCCAGCTTTGGAGAGTACATGATGGATGGGGTTTCCAAGGTTGACATGCCTGCTGAGATGGGTGGGCAGTTTTTGGTTGATCATGAGCAGAAGAGTGACAAGGAACACACCTTCACAATCAAGGTTGGTGAGAGTGAGGCCATCAAGCTTTCCACCTTCAAGGACATGGTGACTGTGATGATTGAAAATGGTAGCTCAGCCGATTTTGGCACCAGTGTTGGATTGATGGGCAAGTTTGGTGATGGAGCTCTACTTGCAAGGGATGGAACTACGGTTATTGGGGACCACAACTTGTTTGGTCAGGAATGGCAGGTGTTGGCAAGTGAGCCCCAGCTGTTTCAGACTTCATCCCAGTTTCTTGGCAAGAGATGTGTCCCTCCTGCCACGACCAAGGGCCGCCGTCGCTTGGGTGTGACCATTTCTAAGGATGCCGCTGAGAAGGCCTGTGACCACCACAAGGATATGAAGATGCAAGACATGTGCGTCTTTGATGTGATTGCTATGGGTGACTTGGAAGTTGCCCATGCTCATGGTGCCTTCTAATTCAAGCACAGTTTCTTGTCTTCTTCACCTCTGGTCATATGATTGCCATCAGTTTTGTTATGGCTTTAAAACACCAATCAACCCCAGCAATATTTTGATACTATTTTCGTCCAACAGACCATATATTATACTTTCTCTACTAGATAACTCATCAGTAGCTATGGCGGAGACAAAAGGGAAGAATAGTCAAATGTGTTGACGTGTTTGGAGGTGTACGAAGAGGTCACTATGGGTTAGTGCCTCAATACAAAATATATGACTAAATAAAGGGTTAGTGAGCAAGGCGGGGCTAAGCTGGGACGAGCAGGGTGGTGGGAAATGGCAGGGACGGGACGGGGCAGGAGGGGCAAAGGCCAGCTAGAGGGGCGAAACGAGGAATCAGAGCAAAGACAGGACGGGGAGACTGGCACTTCCACCTTTGCCACGGCAAAAGAGCTGCATGAATTGGGTTGTGCTCCGGCGCACAACAGACGACCAGCTGACCTTTGCTGCTTATTGCCCGCGCCCAAACCTGTGAGCAGAGCCGGCTTTGTAAACGAGCGGTAAACACTTGTGCAAGGTTCCCTGGCCTGCCAAATTCCCTGTGCCTCAAGTACTTCGTTGACAGGTATTACTTTTTTAAAATCGAATAATTAAAACTGCTACTAAACATGAAGGGAAACCAAACAATTGACACTTCCTATAATCTAAAACAGCATAATTGGCGAATACACGTGCAGGAACTAGGTTGCTGCAACGCCTCCTTGGCACATCCAATCCATTCCAGGCAGGCCTTGGTGTCAGGATGATTCTTGCCCAATACCGATTTTCGAATGGCCAGGCACTCTTCAAATTTCAACAAGGCTCCAGAGTAGTTACCCATAGAACACAATACAGATCCAATGTTGCTGTATACAGATGCCACTAAAGGATGATTCTTGCCTAGTACGCACACAAGAATGGCAAGAGATTGCTTGTACTTTGACAACGCACCTGGGTAATTGCCCATAGCTTTCATAACAGAACCAATGTTGTTGTAGCAAGTGGCGACATCAGGATGATCTTTGCCCAATGCTGACTCTTTGATGGCAAGAGCATCCTTGTACTTAGCCAAAGCACCTTCATAGTCACCTATCTCATCCAGAACAAGCCCAATATTGTTGTAAGTCGCTGCCACCTCAGGATGGTGCTTGCCCAATACTGACTCTTGAATGGCAAGAGCTTCCTCATACTTTGAAAAAGCACCTTCCTTGTCACCCATATTACGCAGTATAACCCCAATGTTGTTGTAGCTGTTTGCCACATCGGGATGATTCTTGCCCAATGCCAACAGTCGGATGGCAAGAGCTTGCTCAGTCTTGGACAAAGCACCTTCATATTCACCCATTGTCCGCAGGACACCACCGATGTTGTTGTAACTGGCTGCCACATCAGGATGATTCTTTCCCAGTGCCGACAAATTAATGGCAAGAGCTTCCTCATACTTTGCGAGAGCACCTTCATGGTCACCCATCTCACTCAGGACAAAACCAATGTCGTTGTAAGTGTTTGCCACTGAGGGATGATTCTTGCCCAACGCTGACAAGTTGATGGCAAGAGATTCCTCATACTTTGCCAAAGCACCTTCATAGTCACCCATACTACCCATAACCAAACCAATAAAGCTATAGGTTTCTGCTTTTGCACTATGATTCTCACCCAAAACGGACTCACAAATTGTCAGAGCTGTCTGGTGGAGTTTCATGGCTGCATCGTGTTCACCATTTTTGTTAAAGATAACCCCAATGTGGTTACAAAAGTCCACGTACTCCTCATCGTTCGTGTTCTCTCTGGTTTCCACCAACTGAGTCAAGACACCTTGCATCCATCCACGTAACAAATCATTGACTAGATTGTTGAGCACGGCAAAACCAACATCCGATTTTACTTGGCCAAGAATGGCCAGCCTGTCACTTTCCACAGATGCATTGGCCTTTTCAACTTTGGTATTGCCCAGAGTCTCGTAGAGAGCATTGATTCCTTCGCCATTATCAACAACATCCTGCTCTAGGGATTGCTTCTCCCTAGGTGGCATGACAATATCCACTTTGCACCCACCAGTCCTGTGAGCTGTAAAGATCTCAAAAATACACCAGACTCGAGTGATGTAAATGGGTGCTTTCCATGGAGCCATCATGGCGAGCAAATGACCAATATTTTTTACTCGTTCTCCAAAGATGGCAAAGAAGTCCACTTTCGCAGATGCTATCATTCCTGATTTCTGCTGAGCAGAGTTTTGCACCACCCTGTGTTGATTGACACAGAGGCAGCACATCCAGATATAGGTTCTCTTTGGATTGAGGTTGTTCTGTAGGCAAAAATCTGATAGAGTATCCACGATGTCGCCAATTGTGTAGTTCCACGAATAGCTGAGCATATGTGTTGCCTCTCCGACATGGTCATCTCCTTGTAGACAATGGACATAAGAAGCTCCCAATCTTCCATCGACTGGGCAAATTGTGTTGGTTCCTCTTGTTCGGATGACCCCGGGAGGACCTCGTAGGCCTTCAATTTCATAGATTTTGGAGTCTCTAGAAAGAGGATTTTGGTTTGCTGTTGCAGCGGTGGTGAATGAATACACTTCTTCTAAAAAGATGTGCTCCAAATGGTGAACACTTACAGCCAGAGTATCCATGGAAAGCGAATTGTTCTTGGCATCTGTGGACGATGTGGCGATCACATTGGTTGGAGCAGCAGCAACAACACCACCGCCTTCAAGGACAACTTGAACATCAACTCCAGTGGCAGACATGTTTCAAATGTCCGCTCTGGAAATGTAAGGCAGTCTGGTTGTCTGGTTGACTGACAAGCACAGATTTATTAGCTGGCTCTACAGTAGTGCCGTAGAGTGTTTGATTGGGATAGAGACTTGGGTGCTAGATCGATCTGCGGTGTGCTGCATGCTGCATGCTGAAGCTCCTTGAGGGTTCTTGCCATGGCTGTTGGATTTTCCGTGTCACGCACTCGATTAATTGTTGCCATGCATGGTCGATCGAGAAACAAGAAGCTGAACAAGATTGATCGATCCGATTATTCGATTGCACTCGACCCGACTCGACTCAGGTTACATCGAACTAAACGACCAGGAGAAACCCAGTCATGCGTTGAAGCCACCAGTACGGAAGTTCGTTTCGGGACCAATCTCCTCACATTTTGTGTTTCAACGATCGTTACCTACGATACCAGCATCGCCAAGAGACTGTTCTTGGAGCTAAGTATCATGTTCCGGTCAATACGGCAGCATGGCTATCATACCTGTATCATAACCGGCAGTGGGAGATGAATGAGGGAGATTTTCGAAATTCCTCATTCGTTGGCTCTCTTTCAGCTGCAGTCTGCGACTTGTTCCTTTCGAGAGAATAGAAGGACCTAGCTAGTAGCAAAAAAGAGGCAGAGCTTGTCTTGGACTGTCACTCGTTCCGATATATTTCATTGATCTTCTTCTTCTTTCGAGCTCAAACAAGCTAAGCAAGCAATCATAAGCATCATAAGTATCAATCAATCAATCATGGAGTCTGTCGCGTCGTTGAACGAAGTGAGTTGCTTTGATCTGGACCTTTTGTGTATGGGTCCCGACGTGGTGACTACTCCTCGAACCATTCAAACGGAAGAGGATGAAGAACAAGGTCGATCATCGTCTCGTCGCGAAACGCAAAAGATGGACTATCTGGTCGAACAACTCGTAAGCAACAATCGTCTTTCGCAAAAGGCTTCTACTGATAGTCATCGCAGTGGACGAAGCAATCGTAGTGGACGAAGCAATCGAAGCAACCGAAGTAAGCGCAACAACAAAAAGAACAGCAACACTTCGTCATCACATCACAACACTAGCAACCACAAGCCCACAGGAGTCAGTTCCTTGCTTCCCAGCCTCAGTCATAGTTTGTCTGGATTGGGCAGGAGCAACAACAACGAGAATAATGACCGCAATAACAGAAACAGCAGCAACAAGAACGCCAACAAGAGCGGAAATGCAAAGGATGGTTTCACAACCGATACCGACACGGATCTGGAAGATGGCAACAACATTCAAGCAAATGTCATTATGATTAGTGGCTGCGATGACTCGCAAACATCCGCTGATGTCAGCAATGTCGCCAGCTTTTCCCTTCCCGATGCCAATGGCAAGGCGGGAGGAGCCTGTACGTCGGCGTTGCTACAAGGTAAGGATCGAGAAACGAGTACTGGCATGCCCGTGGCATCCCTGTTATATTGGTGCGTCTTGCTAACCCATTGTATCTTATGACAACAGTACTCTACGAAAACAAACGAACCAGCGGCACCACCACCAGTCTCTCCTTTATTCAAGTCCTTCGAAACATGCGAAGCATTCTGGTCAAGGGCCATTACACACAAATCCCACAGCTCACATCGTCCCGACCCGTCGATACCAACCAGCCCTTTTACATTGTCCCACCCGATTGCACAGGAACCAAACGAGCCGTCCTCATTGGGATCAACTATACGGGTCACGGACAAGGAGAACTCAGCGGATGTCACAATGATTGCAACAACATGAAAGATTATCTCGTCAATGTCGCGGGATTCCAAAACGAGAATATCTACGTGCTCATGGACGATAATAACGGCCAACACATGGCTCCCACTCGGTCCAATATTCTCAGGGCATACCAGCAAATGGCGGCCAGTAGTAAAAGTGGCGATGCCGTCTTTTGTCATTACTCGGGACACGGTGGACGGGTTCGCGACGACGATTGGCACGAAGAAAAGGACGGCTACGATGAAACACTCGTGCCGGTCGATTACAATACGGCTGGACAAATTCGGGACGATGACTTGTACACGACCTTGGTGGCTGCCATGCCCGCCGGAGTCACACTCGTGTCATTGATGGATTGTTGTCACTCGGGTACCGTGTTGGATTTGCCCTACAAGTATCGGAGCAGTACTACGACGGGTGGTAGTAGTACCGTGCTGACCGAGTCGACGCAATGTCTCGTGTGCAGTGATCCCATGCTTCATTGGATTGTGTTGGCCATGGTGATTGTGTTTTGTGTCATTTTCTTTCCCGTGTTTTTTTCGTAAATAAACGATGATTCGATTCATCAGCAAGCCAAACAGGAGAGAGCCAAACAGGAGAGAGCACAAAAGGAGAACGGCAGTGTGTTGGGACAATCAATGCATCAAATAATAATCATCATCCGGTGGAAGCGATCTGGGAACGTGTAGTTGCAGGTGACAGCTTCCGGTCGAAACGAACTTTTTATTAAAATACATACAAATACAAAACAAACACCCAAGTGACACTTCCAATTCTCACAAGAGCTTTTGCACCAGAGCAGCTGGTCAACGACAACACGCTATTCTGGAACGGCTGCTTGGTGTCGAAAAACTTTCTTCCATTTCCATCATGCATTCGAATAATTGTATTCCGTACAAATCCTATTTACCCTAAACTTTTTATAGTAAAGTAAAGTAAAAATGAAAGGAAATGAAAATCTATCTAAAGATGTGTGTTGTTGGTGTGTACATACATACATGCAAGTCGAAAAAACTTTTGCTTTGTGATTGTGGGAGAAGAAGTAAGTTTGCCCTTGTGCGAGCTGTCGTCACATGCATCTTGCGCACCTCCGTTTCTGGTTTGTTCCGCAACACCTCTGGAGGTACAAATCCTCGCGTGAGTCCATCATCATCTGCCAAAGCTCGTTCGATCCTCACGACTCTTTCTTCCTCACGATTCTTTCTATTTGCTCATTCCTCCTCCACCTCCTCTTCCTCCACATCCACATACATACTGTCACAACACGCCCGCCATTGTTGGATCAATTGCTCTACCTGTTGCACGACTGCCGGTGGATTGGCATGAATGGGAAAATTGCGCGATTGGACTCGCAATTCCAATGTGGATTGATAATATTTGGTTTCATTCTGTTGCTTTGCAAGTGTTCCAGTGTAGAGGGCGGCGTGATGATGTCCCGTGGTGGTGGCGAGGGTTCCAAAAAAGGAGGTCCAAAACAAGCCTTTGGGAAACAATTCCAGCACGCCGCCACATGTGGGTTGTAGAAAGGCACTGGTCAATTGGGCCCCGTGTGGTCCAATGAGAATATCGACGTGACTCATAAACGCGGCTTGTTGGAGAAAGGTCGTGTGGTCAAACGAGTCCAAATAGTATACAGTAGTAAGATTGAGTGCCTGGAGAATGGCTTGGTAGTTGGTGACGCGTCGACCTCCCTGGCGATTGAGGAATCCCACGACGGGCATGGATTTGTTGTCCTGATTTGGAGTGGGACATCCAGGAGGTGCCATGGTGGTGGTGGATTGGTGGTTGTTGTTGTTGTTGTTGTTGTTGTTGTTTGTGGTAATGGTTTTGATGGCGGTGGGCAACGTGTTGTTGTTGTTGCGGTCCAACAAGTGGTAATACTGTTGAATTCCATCTCGCAGAACTTGCGCATCGTGCAAGGATGTCATTTGAAAGGGTGTTTTGCCATTGTTGGTTTGAACCGTTGCGGAAATAGCACGAAGTGGTCGTTCTGCTTTGTCATCTTTTGGCAGCAACAAGACTTGGACCTTCCAAATATCACGGAGTGCTTGTAAAAAGGCAGACGTATAGGAATACTGCGCATGTGTGGCGGGCAAGACCAAGACGGGTCGTTGATGGCGATTGGCGTGCCACCAGGAGAAGCACCTTAGCAATTGTTGCATGGCATGGGGAAAATGAAACGAATAGGAAATGTCGCGGAATTCGCACACGCTTTGATTGTGCGCCATTGTTGGAAACACCAATTGACTGCCATTGTTGTGATTAGTGTAATAGGGAGCCGCAGGGCCCGTCACAAAGTCGGTCAAATCATGACTGGTGGGCCAACGAGATGCAATGGTCGGAGGTTGTCCAAGAATTCGTTTCTTCTTGAGTTTCTTCTTTTTTGTTTTTGTCTTGACGTCAGGAACTTCTGATTTGACTGGATGCTGTGTGGGCGAGAGTCGTTCGTAGGTTTGACGTGAAAAGTACTTGTCATGGTACGAAAGGAACGACAGAGACGACATCAACATGATAAAGCTCAAAAAGGCATAGCGAACATAGTGTCTCAGAATGCTTCGTCGTCGAGCCAGACCATCCGATGGACTGGAAGAAGAAGATGAAGACGAGTTCATGGCAGGATCACTTCGTCGTCGTTGATGGACAAGGGATGCTCTGATTGTGCTTGCCATCGTGCTGGGCCTTCTTCATAATACTGGTCTATACTGTATGGTATACTCAGGCTATCCATTCCTTTCGCTTAACTGGTTGGTATGTTCCGGAATTAATTGCGTT